ACTAGTAAAGTTACCAAAAAAGTAACTTGTAACTGTAACTTCGTTACAAGTAACGAGTTACTTCCATTCCCTGTGCATTATTAGCTGTCATCAGCTTATAAAGGTGCCTTTTCATGCCGACGCTCGACACTCATTTTCGGCGTTCAAAATAAGTCACGTGATAGAAATTGGCGAATATCAAGCGTCAATTTTGATATTGGATGCTTTCCATTTGATGATACAAAATGATGTTTCGAAATGATGTTTGTTTGATGTTTCGATTGCGAAAATTGGTAATTGGTAAAAAAAATGACGGAGAATTTGTTCGTTACCAATACTATTTAATATTATTTATATAATTACATATTTATAATAATAGAAATTGGTTTCAAAATGGAAGTGAAAAAGAAAACGTAAGTATATATCTCTTTTTCACAAAAATATTTTATGAAAGAACTTTTTAGAACAAAATAAGATTATTTCTTCTTTGTATAGATGACATTAAAATACTGCTCGTTTTCATGGCTTCACGTCAATTTCACTGTAATATACAAACGAAATTTTCGGCGACTCTTTTCTTTTATACTAAAACCCCTACCTCGTTTCTAAAAACTAAAAGCATAGTATTGTTCTTCGAGGTTTTCTGTAGGCTGCTGGCTACTTATTTTAAACGGGTAAAATCTGAAACTCTTATATGCAGCACATTGTAACGAGTTGACTGCAAGAGCCGGTGACAAAACTACAATTTTTAATTTTCTTTCATTTTTCGTATTAAATTGTAGCTGGCAGTCTGTATTGTTGTCGATACTTTAATTGTGAAGAAGGACTTTTCAATCCATAAACACAATTAAGAGAAAAAAAGTTTTTAAAAATTAATAATAAATCAGATACTCCAGGATACCTATCATGAAATATGTCGGAATGGATTCCGATCGGAATTATTCCGTTTTCCCTAGAAAACACAATAGAAATTTAGGGAATAATTGAATATTTCCGATCGGAATCGATTCCGACTTGTTCTATGATAGGTACCCAGCATCCCCTTAAGTCGAGGAATCTTCATTTCAAGAAATATTTTGTTGTTTATCTGTTTATCTACATATGATATATGATGTAAATATGACACATCATATGTAAATAATCAAGAGAATTTCTTAAAATGAAGATACCTCAATACGAATTGGATAAAATGGCAGCAGATATGGCGATAGAATACATGGTCCTCGAGCCATGCCTGAAAATCACGTAAAAATATGATATATGGTAGAATCCACTTAAAGCGCATTTATTTAATGCGTATACGTTCCTTATCTTTACTTTTAAGCGATCTTTACAATGAAATGTTAAAGCGTAAAGCTTAAGCTTAGGCCTTAAACTGTAAGAAATGTAAATAAATCATATTCTCCTTACATTCGTTTGTCATCGGTCTATTTCTTATGGCTTAGGGCTGAAGTTTTACAATCGCATTATAGACACCACTTTGGTAAAAATTATTGCAATATAGTTAAAAATTCCATTATATTGAATTGATTTTATTTTTTAAAGTACTATAATATGCTGTTCGAAAAACCTATTTATGGTAAAATCTAATTATATAAATAAAATCCAAGTGGTATTATTATTTTTGTTATTTATTTATCTCTAATGATATGTACCATGTGTATAAAAGATGGTAAAATCTAACCAAATTAAAATGTTAAACCCATGTGGTACCATCTTTATCAAGTTAAATTCTACCAAATTAAAAAGTAAAATCCAAGTGGTATTATTATTTTTGTTATTTACTTATCTCTAATGATATGTATCATGAGTATAAAAGATTTGATATCAACAACAGGTGCCAAGTTAAATTTTATGTATCAAATTAAAAAGTAAAACACAAATGGTACTGTTTCTTGTTATTTATACAAGCTTACCTTTTTAAAAAAAAGGTAAAAAAAGCGCTAAGCGTGCGTGCTTTTCGTAAAAATTATTTGGGCCGATTTTACCAATGTCAATTACCTAATTCGCCGTGAAACTGACTAATTACGTTTGCTGTTTAGTGGAATTGACCACTTATGGTTGACACTTATGGTTGATTCGGCTTAATCGGGTCGGTCCTTTGTATATATTACTTAACTCTAATGATATGTGTTACGTCCTGCAGACGCAGATTCTTTTCTTTCGACAGAATCGGCTCCGCCGCCACTACGATTGGCGCTTGCGAGACGCGAGCAGGAGTCCTTTTATAAAAACTGAAAAACAGACCACACAGGCTCCGCGAAAAACTTGTAATAACGTCAATCAATTCGGAAAAATAACAACACTAAGGTAGGCCTAAAAAGGACGAGATTGCGAAAAACATCATAAATGGACCTAAGTCACGCGATAATAAAAATTCAAGCTGTTGTCCGAGTTGTTGACCAACAATTTCATCTTAAGAAAAACAGGCGCCGCGTCGCCATAAAAACATGAGATAACTTCTTACGGCTGTTTACTTAGCCATATTTTTCACGAGGATGAAGGAATCCATCACCCGCTTAAAGCAATCTTGCCCCTTTTAGAGAAAACATAAATCATTCCTTTTGTTCTCTAAACCCCTTTTTTCAATTTAGATTAACAACGATAGGACGTTTTAAAAATCATAAATCTCGCGCGACATTGCAACTAATTATTGCATCCTAGACAAAAGGCACTACGCCCTTTTTTTGGAATATAAATAGAGGCCCCGTAGAAGCGCAGAAAGTCAGTCAAAATTTCAAACTAGCCGAATCCACGTTGGGAGTTCGCAACAATAACACAATTCAACTCGCGTCAGTTCGCGAAATAGTACGTTGTTCGAGTGCTCTGCCGATCTCTGGGGTTCATCGAGACCACCCACCCGCCAACTGTTATGCTTGGCTGCTCTTGCGTGGAACCGATTCTCTTGCCGAACGAACATTCCACGCATCACCACCAGTAAGTCCATCCAGCCTACAATTACACACAAGCCCCCTCCCCTTTTTTTCGTATCAGTGCGCACGCGACCACATCCACACACACACACACACACACACACACACACACACACACACACACATATATATATCGGGATACGTATTTTAATCCCCAACTTAATTATAGTGCGGTCTCACTCTTTCAAAACGAAACGGGGACGAACTCCCTATGTCCGGCGGAGTTCGCGAAACCGTCTGGCATTGGATAACCAAATGCCGCTAGAACAGGTCTGCCGTCCTACGGTAATAATCACGCCGCAACCTGCTGAAACCGCACCTCCCCGAGTACCAACACTACCATAACTTACACACCAATCTCATACTCACCTACACTAACAGACGCACAACCTCTCGATCTTACCATTCCTCCTCCTCTCAATCCTGGAGTTCAAGAAATTTTGGACTACTCTCCTCCCCCAATTGAGAGA